GGGGCAGACCAACCCCCGGCCTCCTGTCCAGCAGGGGGCGCAGCACTAAACCACAAACATGAAACCAAGAGAAGGTCCTGGTCCAAACCATGGATCTATTAAAATAACTGGATACAGTGTTGCTGCTTGTAGCTGCCTCCAGTTGACGTAGTGTCTCACTGAACTTCAGCAGAAAAAATCCCCTGGGCCGAGACAAGATTTTTCTCATAGAGGCAATGTGATCACAAACTGCTCGTGTTCGTCTGACAGGACCTACAGCTTTCAAAAATGTCGGATTTGCTGGCGATTTTTACCTATTTTAAGATCATAAACTTTTTCTCAGCTCAAAATCCTTCAGTTGTCTTAAAAAACAGTTTATATTCGTTAGCTTCGGCTATGCTCTGCTCCGCTTTAGCTCCTCTCGCTCTGATTGGTCAAAGCGATCACGTGACACACGAGCCCGTGCACCGTGCGTGCGGTCGCGTGCATTCGCGTGTGCCTGTGGGAGAAAAGAGCACTAGTGCGCATGCTCGGTCGGCCCACAGCCGCCGGAAGTACCTAGCCGGGCTAGGCTAATCTGGGATCATGCGCCATTGAGCTCAGCCCATTGACTTGAATGGGCGGCCATTTTGGAACCTGGGGGCTTGGTCCAAACACACTCACGCCTGTACTTCCTGTACTTCCTGTAGTTGTAGTACTTCCTGTAGTTGTAGTACTTCCTGTACTTGGTGTACTTCCTGTAGTTGTAGTACTTCCTGTAGTTGTAGTACTTCCTGTACTTGGTGTACTTCCTGTAGTTGTAGTACTTCCTGTAGTTGTAGTACTTCCTGTACTTCCTGTAGTTGTAGTACTTCCTGTAGTTGTAGTACTGTACTTGTGTACTTCCTGTAGTGTAGTACTTCCTGTAGTACTTCCTGTAGTTGTAGTACTTCCTGTACTTGGTGTACTTCCTGTAGTTGTAGTACTTCCTGTAGTTGTAGTACTTCCTGTAGTTGTAGTACTTCCTGTAGTTGTAGTACTTCCTGTACTTCCTGTAGTTGTAGTAAAGTTCCTGGTTCACGTGTCGAGTCTTGAGTTTATTTTAGACTCGAGTCTTTGCAGGAAACTGGATCCTGTGAACAGCTGCAAGTCTCACATGTCCAAACATCATCAACATGAGACCTGAGAGTCCATCCCAAAACCAGGACTAAACCAGGTCTAAACCAGGTCTGAACCAGGTCTAAACCAGGTCTGAACCAGGTCTAAACCAGGTCTAAACCAGGGAGGTCTAAACCAGGTCTGAACCAGGTCTAAACCAGGTCTGAACCAGGTCTGAACCAGGTCTAAACAGGTCTAAACCAGGTCTAAACCAGGTCTGAACCAGGTCTAAACCAGGTCTGAACCAGGTCTAAACCAGCTCTGAACCAGGTCTAAACCAGGTCTAAACCAGGACTAAACCAGGTCTGAACCAGGTCTGAACCAGGTCTAAACCAGGTCTAAACCAGGTCTGAACCAGGTCTGAACCAGCTCTGAAACCAGGTCTAAACCAGGTCTAAACCAGGACTAAACCAGGTCTGAACCAGGTCTGAACCAGGTCTAAACCAGGTCTAAACCAGGTCTAAACCAGGTCTGAACCAGGACTAAACCAGGTCTGAACCAGGTCTAAACCAGGTCTAAACCAGGTCTGAACCAGGACTAAACCAGGTCTAAACCAGGTCTAAACCAGGTCTAAACCAGGTCTAAACCAGGACTAAACCAGGTCTAAACCAGGTCTGAACCAGGACTAAACCAGGTCTAAACCAGGTCTAAACCAGCTCTGAACCAGGTCTAAACCAGGTCTAAACCAGGACTAAACCAGGTCTGAACCAGCTCTGAACCAGGTCTAAACCAGGTCTAAACCAGGTCTGAACCAGGTCTGAACCAGGACTAAACCAGGTCTGAACCAGGTCTAAACCAGGTCTAAACCAGGTCTGAACCAGGACTAAACCAGGTCTAAACCAGGTCTAAACCAGGTCTAAACCAGGACTAAACCAGGTCTAAACCAGGTCTGAACCAGGACTAAATCAGGTCTAAACCAGGACTAAACCAGGTCTAAACCCAAGGTCTGAACCAGGACTAAACCATGATTGAGGTCCGCTGAGTCATCCATGATCCTGTTTCAGTGGTTTAGTCCTGGTTTAGTCCTGGTTCAGTCCTGTTTTATTCCTGGTTTTAGTCCTGGTTTAGTCCTGGTTTTAGTCCTGGTTTAGTCCTGGTTTAGTCCTGGTTTAGTCCTGGTCTTGGGTTGGACTTACGATGAACTTGCTGAGGAACCTTCTGGACTGTTCCAGGTCGATCTCTGAGATCTCCACGAAGTCCCCGAGCATCCCCTCCTCCGACGGCTCCACGTCCTCGTAGAACTTCTGCGCTCGGTAATAAAACTGTTTCTCTCCTTTAATGTACTCGCAGGTGACGGGGAACAACTTCACTGAGGAGCACAAGAAACAGAGAAGAAGAAGAGAACGTCACTGAGGAGAACATCACTGAGGAGCACAAGAAACAGAGAAGAAGAAGAGAACGTCACTGAGGAGAACGTCACTGAGGAGAACATCACTGAGGAGCACAAGAAACAGAGAAGAAGAAGAGAACGTCACTGAGGAGAACATCACTGAGGAGCACAAGAAACAGAGAGAAGAAGAGAACAGAGAACGTCACTGAGGAGAACATCACTGAGGAGCACAAGAAACAGAGAAGAAGAAGAGAACGTCACTGAGGAGAACATCACTGAGGAGCACAAGAAACAGAGAAGAAGAGGAGAACATCACTGAGGAGAACATCAGTGAATCATGGGAAATGTAGTTCTGATGTTTTTAAACTGTTTCTTCTATAAAACTGTGTATTAAAACGAAGAAACTGGTGATTCGATTTATTGTGATGCTCCACGATTTTATTGTGAGACTTGAGACCCCTGCCTGCACCTGTCTGCTCCTGCCTGCTCCTGTCTGCACCTGCTCCTGCCTGCTCCTGCCTGCTCCTGCCTGCTCCTGTCTGCTCCTGTCTGCTCCTGTCGATGTCAAATCCAAACACTGGTTTATTTATAACTCATTGAATTAGAACTTGAGCCTCTGTTTACAACTGTGTGACTCAGACAGGAGCAGACAGGTGCAGACAGGAGCAGACAGAGCAGACAGGAGCAGACAGGAGCAGACAGGAGCAGAGACAGGAGCAGGCAGGAGCAGACAGGAGCAGACAGGAGCAGACAGGAGCAGCAGGAGCAGCAGGAGCAGGCAGCAGACAGGAGCAGACAGGAGCAGGCAGGACAGACAGAGCAGACAGCAGAGGTGGCAGGGCAGCAGACAGGAGCAGGCAGGAGCAGACAGGTGCAGACAGGAGCAGGCAGGAGCAAACAGGAGCAGACAGGAGGTGGCAGGTGCAGACAGGAGCAGACAGGAGCAAGAAATCCACCCTAAAGACTCCGAGTGACGCTCTTTATGTGGCAAATTTCTCGGATGTGGCCAAAATTTTCAAATTCAATTTAAATTTTTCTTAAATGTGTCAGAAAATGATTTAAAGTGTTGAAATGTTGTGTTCGTGCAGAAGATCATTTTACTGGACGAGTTTTCTGAAAGTTTAAATAAATTTATGGACAAAAGTTTGACATAAACAAACTTAAAATGAAAGTTCATGCTCTGAAAACAAATTCTCAGACGATAAATTCTTGATAAAATGTTTTAAATTCTGATCAGTTCTAGATAAACAGATTTAAAATCAGTTTATGACGAGGTTCATGCTCTGATAATGAATCCAAAGATGATCAATTCTAAACATTTCTGGTCTAAATTAAAGATTTTCTGACGAGTCGAGTCATGGAAAAAAAAAAACCTGACACTTTTTAAGATGAAACAAACGAACAGAACGAAGAAGAAGAAAATAAATCTGAAAACAACATGAAGAACCTGAGAAGTTTTGGCCCGATCAGAGAAAGTGGAGAGTGGATCTGAAAACGAGCGACGGAAATAAGAGATTAAAGATTCATCCAACGTGAATCAGTTCAAAAACACTTCAGGAGGTCACAACGAGAACCTGGAGAAACATCTGAGGAGAAACATCTGAGGAGAAACATCTGAGGAGAAACATCTGAGGAGAAACATCTGAGGAGAAACAGTTTGAGGAGAAACATCTGAGGAGAAACATCTGAGGAGAAACAGTTTGAGGAGAAACATCTGAGGAGAAACAGTTTGAGGAGAAACAGTTTGAGGAGAAACAGTTTGAGGAGAAACAGTTTGAGGAGAAACAGTTTGAGGAGAAAACATCTGAGGAGAAACAGTTTGAGGAGAAACATTTGAGGAGAAACAGTTTGAGGAGAAACAGTTTGAGGAGAAACAGTTTGAGGAGAAACAGTTTGAGGAGAAACAGTTTGAGGAGAAACAGTTTGAGGAGAAACAGTTTGAAACAGTTTGAGGAGAAACAGTTTGAGGAGAAACAGTTTGAGGAGAAACAGTTTGAGGAGAAACAGTTTGAGGAGAAACAGTTTGAGGAGCAGCTCTGGCTCCGTGTTTGGCTCTGACTCTGAGGAGCCGAGTCTCTGGAATCCACAACACGCTCCACCTGCTCCAGACACATGCCGCCCCACACCCAAGACCCAGACCCAGACCGGGACCTGAGCCAGGACCTGAGCCAGGACCTGAGCCAGGACTTGGACCGGAGCCAGAGCTCATTCCTGAGACTTGTATGACAGATTGACCCACTGACAGTTTGAGGCTCGAGTTTTGTCTGTGGACTAAACCTGGACTAAACCAGAACCAAACCAGAATTAAACCAGGACTAAACCAGGACTAAACCAGGACTAAACAGGACTAAAACAGGACTAAACCAGGTCTAAACCAGGTCTAAACCAGGACTAAACCAGGAACAACAGGACTAAACCAGGACTACAACAGGACTAAACCAGGACTACAACAGGACTAAATCCTGTCCAACAAACTGTACAAAGAAACTCTGAAACATCCTGTTTTCAGGTCATGTTTGTTGGTCCAGTCTGGTCCAGTTTGGTCCAGTTTGGT